TCTCTCTCTCTCTCTCCCTCTCTCTCTCTCTCTCTCTCTCTCTCACTCCTCTCCCCCCCTCCCCCTTGCACCCAATTCCAGGCCGCGGCGACCCCAGCCTTGGGACCTCGTACCCAGCCGGGGATGCCACCACCCGGACACTTCTCCTCCGCCAACGGCTTCGGGGGACCCGTGGCTACGGGAGGGGAGTTAACCTCACCGTTTGCGCAGCAGGCGGCGGCGATGCCGGTGATGCCGGTGGGAACGGGAGGGGCTCACCAGCCCGGCGCCGCTGCTGCCTTTTCCGCCACCGGTGGGGCGGGAACGTCCGTTGCCGGTGGAGGGGCGGCGGCGGCGGCCGCCGGAGGAGGTGGCGGCGGCGGCGAGGTGTACTGCGTGTGCCGCACGGCGGACGTGACGGGGACCATGCTGGAGTGCGACTTCTGCCAGGATTGGTTCCACGTGCGGTGCGTGGGGCTGACCGAGCAGGACTGCGACCGCTTCTCCAAGTACGCGTGCCCGCTCTGCACCAAGAACAAAGGCAAGAAGTCCACCCTCAGCAAGAAGAAGAGGAAGGTCACCCCCATCAACAACCCAGCGGCAGCCGTCCATCCCTCCTCGTTGCCTGCGGCGGGTTCTGGTGGTGCCGGTGCCGGCGCACCGGCGGCCGCAGGCGGCGGGGACGGGTACGCAGCCTTGCCGGCCCAGAAGAACAAGCCGCGGGCGCCTGGCGGCGGCGGCGGAGGGGCGGGGGCGCGATCTGCGCTCGCCGGCGGGGGGGGGGCGCCGCAGAGTGCTCCCGGTGGGGGAGACGGGAGGGGGACGATGGAGGCGATGCCGCCTGTCCCGCTGGCAGGTGCGGTGGTGCGCTGTTGCTGTCGTTGTCTGGGTGGGGGTGGCGGATTGGGTTCTCGATTCCTGGAGCTCGTCGTGTCGCGTGTTTTTTTGTTGTGGTTGTTTCCGCCACGTGCACTTCTTCTGTCTCCTCGCCGTGTTGCCTGGTGTACTTGGACGCAGTAGACAGACGCTTGCCATAGCGTTGTGTCGGCTCTATGAAAGAGCGGAGGTGCTACTGTTTTCCACCCGCTCCCCCCTCGCAGTGTGTGTGTGTGTTTTTTTTTTTTTTCGCCTCTGTCGTTGTGTGGCTTGCGTTGATCGGTGTAGAGTCGTCTCTGTTCGTGTCCCTTTCGATGCTCGGATGGTGCAGGTTGTACATATCTCTCGCTGTATAATTGGTTGACGGTGGCGGTGCACACGTGTACCTACGCACCTTCGTGTTGCTCCCATTTCGGGTTAACCGTCACTTGTTTGCGAAGAAATGTTTTTTTGTCGCCTCCTCCGGGCATTGCGTTGCTCCTCATCAACTCTTTTTATGAACGCTTATTTGTCCGTGTCTAATGGATGTCGCCCTCCCCCNCGCGCGCCTCTCATTGTATCCTCTAACCGCATGCCCTGTGTTGTCCTTTTCCGCTCTCTGGCCCATACCTACCGTCGTGTGTGCTGTGTCTGGGTTTTTCCCCTTTTGCAGACAAGAGCGTCTTGCTCCGGACGAGAAGGGACTGGTTGTCCACTTCTGCCCCAAGCTCAGCCGGTCCTTACGTACCGCAAGAGGTACGTGATTCTGCGCGCACACGCTAGGTCGGGAGTTCGAGTTTCGATGACAAAGCAATTTTTTTGCTCACGCCCTTTGCGCGGAAAGAACAGAAGGCGAAATGGCGAGATGTGTGGTCTCGACTCTCGCCGCCGAACCTCCTGAACATCGATGATTCTAGCGACACCTCGATATCGAGAACCAACCTGCCGCAGCATCTCCTGAACATTGATGATTCTAGCGATACACCTCTATGTCGAGCATCAGCCTACCTCCCAGGCAAGATTCCACACCCACCCATATTCTACAGGTAGCGACGCCTCTATATCGAGAATCAATGTGCCGTATATGGCACAAGATAACACCCCCACCCTGAACCGTCGTTCAAAGCTTAATTACTCCACGACAAACAAGATGCATTAACGAAACGATACATTTTCGGAAAGCTCTCGACCAGACGGCTTCAACGCCGCTGTTTTCGGCGCTGTGACCCTTTCGGCTGTTGACATATCGAGCTTTGAGAGTCGGTCCGGGGGGTGTGTTATCTTGTGTCATATACGGGTACCTCGCAATCAAGATTCCGCGCCCATCCATATTTTGGCGACGCCGCTATGCCGACAATCAAACCTGATTCCCCTCGAGGTTCCACACCCACCCATCTCCCCAAAGCGGCACTTCTGACTTTATTAGTGGTTGAACACAGAAGCACGGCCTCTCTCACGCGTGGCCGCCAACCCTGTGGCAGAGGACAACCACCCACCCCTCCTTCGCCGTGCGGCAGCCTATAACAGTGGAGATACATAGCTCGCTGCACTTGAACCGCTCTGCATCGATAGGGGGGAGGGTGTCAGATCGGTGCCGAGACGGGCCAGGCATCCCGGGGAAGCGAAAACCCGATGCAGTGCATACATACATGCATTTCCCATGTAGCACCCAGTCAGTTGCNGGGGGGGGGGGGAGCTGTTGTGGAAGTAGAATTCGAGATGCGTTCCATGTGTATTTGTTGTGATTTTGTTAGCTGGAAGAAAGCCTTTAGTGGAATGGAGGAGAGAGCGGTCGATGGTGAACAGGCTGTGTCCCATCCCACGTTCCGAGACGCCCCGTGCCAAATGGTGTGATTCTTTCGGTGCAGCTTCCTGCCGCACTGCGAGATCCCCCGCCAACGTCGTCATGACTTCCCCCGCCCCTGCCTGTCCTGCTCTCTTGCCTGTCTCTCCGCTGCTTGTTGTTTCGGCTGCTGTGGCGGTTTTTCTGCTTGTTTTGGGGTGTTGCTGTTGTTGTTGTTGTTGTTGTTGTTGTTGTTGTTGTTGTTGTCTCCAGGGGGACGAGGTGTTCTACTTCCCTGCTGGGTACGCTGCCTTCTCGGAGAAGCACCCCGATCCAAGGGAGCATCTCCGCAACACCTCGCACGCCTTCCGCAAGGTACCTACCGTTCGTTGTTGTTGATGTTGTTGGGCGTTGTTCTTGCTGCAGCTGGCAAGTGGTTGGTAGTTGTTGTCGTTGTCGGTTGCCATTTGTTGGGGTTATTGGTTGAGAGGGACGTGTCGTGTCGAACAATTTCACGTGCTCGTCACCGCAAACCTGCCTGCACCCACTACTGTTCTTTCCTGCACGTAGCATTACCGCATAAGGTACTATCTAATACATGACACAATCACGTTTTTATTTTTTTTTTCAGGTGGACCGAGGAGGAGTCGCTTGCCGAGTGGCCAGGGTCGACTTCGAGCTCCCGGCGAGAGGCGACGACAGCTTCGATCCTCCCGTGGTGGCCGCTGTGGTGACCCTCATGACGGCGAGTGGCTCGATGGGGGGAGAGCACGAGGTCTCGATGCGACCCAGCGACCGCGCCGACTTCCTGGTGCCCAGGCGGAAAGTGATGCAGGTGAAGAGGTGGTCGGTGTACCTCCAGGCGGGGGGTTGCGGGATGTGAACTTATGGTAGCGTGCGAGCATGGATATATGCATCTATACATTTTTTTTTGGTACCACGATTATTTAATCTCTTCCACAAATTAGCAGTGGATTCACATCGTTCAACCGAAACTCTCAGTGTTTCAGGCTTCTAGTCGTTTGGGTCCAGCTATTTTGTTTTTGTGAAAATTAGTCACGGTGGCGGCGATGCAAAATGTAAATGGTGGGAGGCGAGAGCGACGACGCCCCGTGTATTGTGGACTTGTTTTCGATGTGGCCGCGCCCCCCCCAAGCATCCATCAATTGACGATCTATCCCTTGAAGTTCTTCAAGAGGCTTCAAGAGGCGGGACAGGAAGTGCAACCACCGCCGAGAAGCTCCAACAGAAGAAAACACTGTATACTGTAGCAGGATATCGCCGTCGCGCTGCGTGCTGATAATTAGGCCGCATGCCTCCCTCTCCTGTGTCTCTTCATGGGTAGCATCGACCGCGCTACCCAACGGTTGACTGCAGAAAATGCCTCCTGTCTCGTCCTAGCATCGCCCGTGCTAACCAACGAACGCCAGTCTAAGAAGCGCGGTTTATGCCTCCTCCCGTTTTCTCCTTCCGCGTGCCCCCTTTACAGGCCCTCAACGAAGGCTACCGCCCGGGAGACACGGTCAGCGTCCGACACTCCGAGGGGCACTCATCCGAAGGGAGGATTCTGGCCATCGACGACGGCTCCAACGACGGCGGCGGCGGCGGCGGTCCCGGGTTCTCTCGACCTCCACCCCGACCGTGGTGGGAAGGCGTTACGGTTCGCTGGGAGGCTGGGGGCACGGTAAGCTAAGCTACGGGTGTCTGTGGGGGGGTCGAGTGGCCCTGTGGTGGGCGTCCCGCTTTGCTTGAGTCGTGGTTTTGGGTATATTCGGAGTAAGCGTTCCCTGTGGTCTGGTGGTTGCGCAACGCCTGGCGATGTTGATTTGTGACCAGGCGTGAAGGCATGTGCTTGGCTTGCAAGCGCCCCATGCTCGATTATCAGTGGTGAAACTTGCCCCCCCCCTTTTCTCCCTCCGGTTGTAGATCCGCGCGGTGCTCTCTTCTGTCGTGCTTCTATTGTCTTTACTCCTTATCCTATTTTTGTTTGTTTTTTGCCACCGTGTCTGACCCCTCGTTCCCCGCTATCCTTCCCCCCACACACGCCCCCCCTTGGTGTTTGCCATCGGGGTTGGGTTTTCGTCGCTAGGCAGCGATGTTATAGAAGCCGATCACTTCGTGAACTCGTCAACCCGGTTACTGCTTGTTTTTGGACGGTAACCATAATGGTGGTCGTGTTGATTCTGTTGTGCGGGGTCGAGAACGCTCACTCCGCGCAAAGGGAATAATCGCACCACGTTGTGTTAAAATGGTCAAGCACCCTCGAGGCAGTTACACAGTGCTTACAACTTTCTCTGGAAGTGAATGCACCAGAAAATAGATGAAGTCATACGCAGCTGTCATCCGTACGTAAGGAATTAAGCACAAGATGCCGAACACCCTTAGCAGGATGCAGGCACCGACCATACGACTCACCGAACACCTCACGGTGCTTCACGCTTGGTGATGTGAGAGCCTGGTCCGGTGAGACCCCGGCGTGCTCCGTACCGGCTTTGTAGGGATGCGAGGTCAATGGTCTAACGACTACGGCATGCACGACTATGAGTACACCCCCCCACTGTCAAAATTCTTCGACATTGAGCAGGGGGTCCCACAAGGTTGCACGCTGTCCCCAACATTGTTCCAGGTGTTCAACGATCTGTTGGAAGTCGTAGAGGCAGTCCGGAAGGGAATAACAATAGGGGGCACGGAAACGTCGGTTTCAGGAATGCTGTTTGCGGATGATTTTGTCGGTTTGTGGGACACCCGAGGGACTGCAACTGCAAATCGACGCGGCGAAGAAGTTTACTGATAAGTGGAGATTGTCTGCCAACGTTCAGAAGAGTGCCGTCATGGTATGCAACGAG